ACTGTGATCTACCAAGGGAGTTCTCATGACTCTGAAAAAGGTTTGTGTTTGCTGCAGAGGTGGGGAGGGAGTTGCACTTCCAACCCAAAGAAGGTCAGTTTGAATACACTCATCACTCCATAGAAAGAAGATGAGCAGTTCTTCCCAAGTGATTCACATCCCCTGGAAACCTGCTAGAGGATCCGCAATGAGTCAGTTCCATCTCCAAGGCAATGAATTTTAGTCGTCTATTAAAGGAGCCCTGGTGACACAGTGTGGTACATTTTAGGCTGCAAACAGGAGCTCTGGTGGCCTAGTGTTAAGAAACTGTGCTGCATTTCCAAAGGCACGTGGTTCAAATCCACCAACTGCTCTGAGGGACCAGGGTCGACAGTCTCCTCCTGTGTGATTAAGTGCCTCTAAAAACCCACTGGAAGGTCAGCTATAGGTTAGTTCTGACTCGATGGCACACAATAACAACAACAGGAAGACAAGCTGTTAGAATGGACCGGTTTGTTCCTGCTGAGATTTACAGCCTAGGCTGCCCTATGAAGAGTTACCATGAGCCGACAGTGGGTTGGGTTTGGGTTGGTGGTTTGTGCAGCAAACCTCCTGCCATCAGGCCTGCTCTCGTTCACAGTGACTCTCCATCAGGTGTCTGTGGTTGTAAATCTTTCTGGGAGGAAACTGCTCGTTGTTCTCCCTCACAGCAGTGGGTGGATTTGGACTCCCTGAAAGATTATACACGATACCATCAAGTTGAGTATGACACATAGTGATTCTATGAACAACAGTTTTGAACCTTCCCTGTCTGTCTCCAGCAGAATAGCTGGTGGATTAGAACTGTCTGCCTTTGAGTTGGCAGCACAGTTCATTACCACTAGACCACCAGAAACTAAAAATAGCTCACCAAAAATAAAATAGCCATCACGTCAGTTTTGACTCATCGTGACCCCTCTATTGGGTTTTCAAGACTGTAAATAGTCACAGGAGTCCGCCTTGTTTGAGTTAGGAGAAAACTGTCTACAGACTACATTACCATAGTTCTCGTAATAGCTTTGGCAACTACTAATTCCATAACTGCAAATATAATCACATAATTCCATCATTGCAAAGGCATTTGACTGTGTGACTCACAACAAATTGTGGATAACATCGAGAAGAATGTGAATCCCAGAACACTTGATTGTGTTCATGTGAAAGCTATACTCAGACCAGGAAGCTGTCATATGAACAGAGCAAGGGAACACTGCATGGTTCAAAATCAAGAAAGGAGTGCATCTGGGATGTGTCCTATCTCTATACCTTTTCAGTTTATATGCAAAACAGATCATCTGGGAGGCTGGAATTAAAGAGGAGAAATGTGGCATCAGGACTGAAGGAAGACTCATCAACAGCCTGTGTTGTGCAGCTGACACAATATTATTTACCAAATCTGAAAAAGGTTTGTGTTTGCTGCAGAGGTCAAGGGCTGCAGTATTCAATACAGACTGCAACTTAACATCAAGAAAACAAAGATTCTCACCACTGGGCCAGTTGGCAGCATCATGCCAGGAGAAGAGATTGACATTGTCAGCAATTTCATCTTGCTCTGCTCCACAATCAACACTTTTGGCACCAGCAGTCAGGAAATCAAATGATTATCTGTATTGGGAAAATCTGCTACCAGTGTGCTACAGAACAATGACATTATTCTGGAGACTTAGGTGTGACTGATCCAGGCCATGGTCTTTGTAATTACTTGCTATACAGTAAAGAGCTGGGCAATGACTAATAATGACAGAAGGATCAAGGCCTTTGAGTTGTGGTGTTGGAGAAGAGTATTGAGCTGGCAGTATGGGCTGCACCAAAAGAACAAATGGGTCTGTCCTAGAGAGGGTGAAACCAAATTGCTCCTTGGAGGCAAGGGTTCTGAAGCTCTGTTTCACATAGTTTGGGCATGTTACCAGGAGGGGGCATTCCTTGGGGAAGGACATCATGCTTGGAAGGGTACAGGGTCAGCACAGGAGAGGAAGACCCTGGATTGACACAGTGACTGTATCAGAGACACTGAGATTGGCTAAAAACAGGGCAGGGTTCCGAGCTATTGTTCATAGTGTTGCTATGAGTCATAGTTGACTCAAAAGCACATAACAACTGCTCCATAAATCACAAACTCAGATACAGCTTTCTATTTGCATGTAACAGGCCTTAATTTTTTACTTCAAGCGCCTATTCTCCTAACAGTAGAAAACTTGCTCTTTGAATATTAGCTAAACTTAGTCACTTCAGTGTTAATTCAGAGATTTTTTTTCCAGTTTATCCTTAGTGAATCTAGGCTTTTCTTTGTCATTATATTAGATTGTCAGCTAATACCTTATAATAACTTGTGACTTTGACCCATTCTTAAGGTTGCTCAGAGGCCTGTGAATGAGATCGTTTCAGATGTTATAGTGCTCTCTAAGCTTGTCTTCATTATCTCTCACAGTTTATCATGTATCAGTCAACATTTTTTTTTCTTCAGCAATTAACCCATGGAGTTTTTAATTTTCAATATTTGGTTAAACAAAATGCGTCTTTTATAAATAAACTCAGCATAAGGTCAACAACTAAAAGGAGGAATAAACACAAGGAAAACAAAAGGCTTAGGGTGTCCCTCGGTGGGCATCATGTCAAACCTGCTCCCTTCCTTAAAGGAAGTGGGGTTTCTTGCCCTTGGGCATCAGCATGAGTCCCTGTTCCTAAGCGCCAGCATTGGGCAGAAACAGAGAAACCAGCCGTGAAATGTCTAAGCGTCTTTATGTGGCCCACAGGCTCTTGGACCCCAAGTGCATAGGACTCCTCTAAAGTATCATTCACAGAGATCCAGCCAGATCTGTAGAACTTTTTTCCTCTCCTCAGGAAAAGCTTATAGTCATGGGCCATCCCCATGAACCTAAGGGCCTACTGTGACAAGAAAAGGCTACAGAATAGACAGCAGCCAGTTGCTATGAGAGCATAATGTACTAGCCCCTGAGTGGCTTCTGCTACTCAGCATAAGAAAATCAGCCTCATTTGATTGAAGATGCACATGCTAAAAAGTGCTGGTGTAAACATGCACTCCAGTGACACTAGGCAGAAGGCCTTCGTCCATCTCGGTAAGCTCACCCAGGCTCAGTGTTCAATCCTAGGCTGGCTCTGCTACTAAGGAGAAGTGGATCTTGGTCTGTCTCTGCTGTCTCAAATCTTGCACAGGAATCTCTGACCCCGAAGGGTGCACACTGCACTCTGCTTTTTCATACTGGCAGCAAGATGCTCCTTTTCTGCCTCTACACCTGCTCAATGTAAGCCTGAGTGTGGTGGTGATAGTGATAAAACTAGCCAATTCATTCATGACTAGTCTACATACCCCATTTTAATATTTCTATTTAGTCATGTGGCAGCAGACAAAGGCAATGGCCTAGGAAAGCCATTTTGAACAATAAACCCACTACACTACATCCTCTCTCCAATATACAGAATCTTTGCAGTGGAATCTATTTGATGACAACAGAGCTTGGGTTGGTTTGTTTGGTGAATAGAAAAGTAAGAGTACTGTTGTTAGTAAAGTCACTTTGAATTATAGCATCTCTTTGACCAGCAGAGCTGAACCTAGCCTTAACCTGTGCTCTCCTCACAACCTCCACTATGCTCAAGCTCACTGTGTAAATCTATCACCAGAAAACCACAGTTCTGCCACCTGCCACCAGAAAAACCAATCTTGGAGAGAATGGGTTGGAATGGAAAATGCAGATTTATCATATAGGAGACAGAGAACGTGGGTTTCACAAATCTGTGTCTGGTGGATTCAAAGCAACAGAGAGGCGCCACCTTTGGGTCAGCAGTGCAACTCCCTATCAGCTATGCCACCAGAGTTCTATTTATATTGATAGGTGTATATGCACTGTAATCCCAAAAGCATGCGGTTTGAATCCACCACCTGCTCCGTGGAAGAAAGATGGACAATCTCCTTCTATGTGATTAACTGCCTCTGAAAGCCCACCAGAGGGTCAGCTATGGGTTTGTTCCAACTCTATGGTATACAACAATAGCAACAACTAACCATAGATGATCTAGGTATATATGAATTTGATAAATACAGTTATTTCTATTTTCCCCATTCTAGCCACGACCTCTTGAAAGTGCTCAAGTAAGTAAAAAACCTCTTTAAAGTGCTAAAGAGCAAGGAAATTCATTTAAAGACTAAGGCATGCTTGATCTAAACCATGATATTTTCAATTGTTTCATAATGTGTTTTAAAGTAGGACAATGAATAAGGAAGACCAAAGAATTACTTAAACTCTTGACTGTGATACTGGCAAAGAATACTGAGTATCCCAGGGACTGCTAAAAGAACACACAACTCTGTCTTGGAGGAAGTACATCCAGGCTGTTCCTTAGAGGCAAGGATGGTGAAGCTTTGTCTCACATACTTTGGGCATGTTGTCAGGATTAGTCAGTCCTGATAATAATCTAGGGGAAAGACATCATGCTGGGAAATGCAAAGGGTCCTCAAAAGAGAAGAAAATTCTCAAGAGATGGATTGATAGAGAGTCTGTAATAAGGGACTTGAGCATGTCAGAGATCATGAGGACAGTGCAGGAGAGGGTAAAGTTCAGATCTGTTGTTCATAGGATCACTGTGGGTGGTCACCAAATCAACAGCACCTAGCAACAACAACAGTTCAAGGCCAGTGGTAAGTGGTAGCCATGGTCATGGCTCTTGTATTTGTTTTCCCGAGTTTTCCTTTACTTTCTTACTGTTTTGCTCATGATGAGTAGAAGCCCATAGTTGTGTCATGAATGGTTACTTGCAAGCTTTTAGGATGGCCCAAAGATTTTTATTTACCTGCCAAAATGTCTACTTTGTCTACTTCTTTAACTCATTTACTGGTTTGAGTTTTTTAAGTTTATGAGTAACAATTAGTAATTAAAAGTAGCAAGACATTAATAATAGAGAAATACTATTGGCCTAAATGTATGTATTATATTTCTCACTTCTAGCTTTGTTCCTCCCTAGATACAATGTCAAGTGAAGATACCAAACCTGCCTTCAGTGAGATACAAGCCTCTGCCTTAGTGGAATCAATATTTGGGTTGAAAACTTCTGAATTGCAGCCACTTCCTAGCTACGATGACCAAAACTTTCATGTGCACATTTCAAGAACCAAAGACACTACAGATGGCCCAACTGAGTATGTTCTCAAAATAAGCAACACTGAGTCTAGCAAAAATCCAGAGCTGGTTGAAGTCCAGACTCACATCATCCTGTTTCTGAGAGAGGCTGGATTTCCAACAGCCTCTATCTGCCGTACTAAAGGAGACAACATAACCTCTCTTGTGTCCATAGGTAAGAGATGACCAATGTGACAGTCTGTTCATGTACTTTTGTAGCCAACATTATTGCATTTAACTACAAGTGGAAAAATCAAGAGGAAATATCAAGAACAGGTTCACACAGTTTGATCAGAGATGCTGTATAATCCTGATCAAAAGGGGGGGGGTGGGAAATAGAAGAGAACTCATAGAATCCAGATTTTTTTGGAGCCATGGAAGCTGAATGAACTCCTCAAATTATTTTCCTGGGATAATTATTACTAAATCTTAAACTAAACAATCACTCTCTCACTCATTGCCATTAAGTCTGAACTGGTTCATAGCTGACCCTCCAGTGGGTTCTCAAAGACTATAAATTACACAGGAGAAGAATGCCCATCATTCTCTCATGGAGCAGCTGATGGATTCAAATCGCCTGCTGTTTTGGTAGGCAGGGCAACTTCGTACTGCTAGGCCACCAGAGTTCCCCTCATAATTGTTTATTTTGACTAGTAAAGAATGTCTGCCTTTAACAGTGAACTTTTAAGATCTAGATGTCTATATGGGATCAAATTGACAACAGCAATTCATAAGATTAGATAGGAAACTAAGGGGGCATAGAGTTTAACAAAGGAATAAAACTCAGAAAAGGATGGTGAGAATTACTGCAGAACTTAAAGGAGGTAACCAATTGAATTGGGACCATCACTGAATTGTACATGTAGAAATTTTTGAGTTGGTGTATCTTTTGCTATGTATATTTTTAATAACAACCAAAAGAATTTTGTTTTTACTAAAAGAAGCAGGAATGGATTCACCATTCCAAATGCAGACATGTTTACTGTTTTAATGGTGAGGAAAAGTAATGTATATTGATACATCGCTAATGTAGAGATTGGGGCTCTGGTTTCAATGTGGTTAAAGCCAGGATATAGCATAACTCTTCTACTTAGAAAGGCCCTTATGAGTAAATAATAAAGGAAATCTGAACAATTTAGGTTTTTTTTTAATGGGAAAAAGCAGTAATTATTCATCAGACCAACAGTAAATTATGCTACTATGGTGTAATAGAAAGAATATTGAGAATCAGGAATTTTAGATCTCAAATCTGGCATTAACTACATGGGTGGTGTTGGGCACACCACTGAAATTACCAAGGCTATATTTCCTCATCTGTGAGATTTAAACCTTTTAATCTCTGAATGCTAAAGTGGACCTAACTCAGTTCTCCAAGTACCAGCCTGAAATCAATGCCTTGTAATTCTCTGAAGGTATAAAATTTTGACTGGCCTTTTCTCTCTTAACTTTACAACCGTTCTTCCTTAATTTTCATTGCCCTAAACAACTGACATTTATTACAGTCTTTGAGAGATGGTTATTGCTCTGTGGTCTGAACACAGGCTATTTTCTGCTTTGCCATTGAGGAAGTCTCTGATCAAAGGACAGTTATTTCTTGATACCTCGGTTTCCTCAGTGGTAAACTTCAGTGAAATTGGTTTGGAGCATTTACTTGTCAGAGTAGGAAACTGATATTTAGAGATAAGACAAGTTGTCAGTATGTTGTTGTTATGTGTTGTCAAGTCAGAACCAATTCATAGCTGACTCTCCAGCAGGTTTTCAGAGGCAGGAGGGCATATGGGAGGAGACTGCCCATCTTGCTCCTGAGGAGCACCTGTTGGATTCGAACCACTTACCTTTGGGTTGGTGGCATACCCCTAGGCCACCAGACCTCTCTATTGTTAGTATGTATACATGTGGTCAGTTCCAATGATCTTCAAATTTGTGTGCTCTACATCCTTCCTCTTATTCACTTAACCCTATTTCATGAATCTTTTTAAGTTAACACTTTTCTCTCTCTCTTCCCCCTCCCCTCTCTCCCTCCATTCCCCTCTTCTCCTCTCCTCTACTCTCTCTCGTATGTAATCTCTATTCTCTGCAGTTATTTCTGGGCAGAACTGCGTGTTTATTTCTTGTGAGGATAGTTGACAGCGTACATTGTTCCATCCATCTAGACAATGGCTCTGAGATCAAAAGCTACTTGGTGAGACTGATGACATACCTCCCAGGAAGACGCGTAGCAGAGATTTCTGTCTGTCCACAGCTGTTATATGAAATTGGAAGACTGGCTGCACGAATGGATAAGGCACTGGAGGTAAATTTGGATTTCCTTTTGTTTGTAAGATTTTTCTAGGTTTGATTTTGCTTAATCAACACAGGGCTACTGCGTCTTTTTATATATGGTGCTATGTAAGGTGTATTATGAAGGAAGCAAGATCCTCAAAGCATGAATGTTATGATGAACAGTAGAGCTGCCTTATTCCCAAGCCTGTACTTGGTTGCTCTATTGGGTGGTGGTGGTGTTAGGTGCTACTACTCATAGCGATCCCATGAACAGATCAGAACTATGACCTATTCTACACCATCTCTCATAGGTTTGACTCCCTTTAGCACAGTCACTGTGTCAGCCCATCTTGTTGAAGGTCTTCCTCTCTTTTATTGATCCTCCACCTTTCCTAGCATGATGTATTTTTCCAAGGACAGGCCCTTTCTAAGAACATGGCCAAAGTGTGCAAGATGACATTTCACCCTCCTTGACTCTAAGTAGCACTCAGTAGCACTTCCTCCAAGACAGACGTATTTGTTCTTTTGGCAGTCCATGGGATACTCTTCAATACTACAATTCAACGGCATCAATTCTTGTTGTTGTTAGGTGCTGTAGAGTCAAATGTGACTCATAGTGACCCTATAAACAACAGACCTGAACCTTGTACTATCCTGTGCCACCCTCCTCATCTCTGACACACATGAGCCCATTACTGTAGGCACTGTGCCAATCCAACTCACTCGAGGGTCTTCCTCATTTTCACTGACCTTCCACCTTTCCAAGCTTGTGTCCCTTTCCAAGGAATAGTCTCTCCTACAAACATCCCCGAAGTATGAGAGATGAAGCTTTGCCATCTTTGCCTCCAAGGAGCATTCTGGCCACACTTTCCCCAAGACATATCTGTTTGTGCTTTTGGCATTCCACGGGATGTTCAGTACTCTTTTCCAACCCTACAACTCAAAAGCATCCATTTTTATTCTATCATCCTTATTCATTGTCCAACTCTCAGGTGTGTAGCTAGTGATTGAAAAGACCATGGCCTGAAGCCTGTACACTTTAGTCTTCAGACTAACATCATTGCCTTTCTGTCTTTTGGAAAGATCCCTGATAGCAGATTGCCCAATGTAATAAGTCTCCTGATCTCCTGACTGCTGATACCAAGGGTACTGATTGTTCATCTAAGCAAGATGAAATAATTGACAACTTCAATATTTTCTCCATCTATCATGATGTTTCCTATTGGCCCAGTGGTGAAGATTTTGTTTTCTTAATGTTCAGGTATAATCGATATTGAAGGCTCTAAGCCTTGATTTTTTTTTTTTTTTTTCAGTAAGTGCTTCAGGTCCTCCTCAGTTTCAGCAAGCAGGGTTGTGCCATCTGCCTAATGCAGGTTGTTGATAAATATTCCTCCAATCCTGATGTCACACTTCTCTTCATAGGGTCCAGTTTCACAAATTATTTGCTTATCTTTCTGATCCTTGTTTTGAGGGGTTGGTTGAATTCCAGTGATTTCTGGCACGGGACCCAGGGTCACAGCAAGACTTTCAACCCATTCCAGATCTTGCTTGAATTCTGCCAAGCACTGCTTCAGTCCAGAGTTGTTAACTGCCTTCTTTGGCCTGGTTTGACAGAGCCCTTGGAAAACGCATTCTGAAACTCTCTGTGACAAAAGAATCTTCAGAATCAGAATCTGAACCAAAAACCAGTGGAGTGTCCATCTCGTAGCATGCACACCCACAATCCTACTGGAAGCAGAGTACCCCGAAGTCTGTTTGGTAGGGAAAGAGTGGCTCTTGCCCCAGCCATCCACTTTCACCCATGACACTAAATCCACAGCTCCACGTGGAATGTTAGCTGCTTCGCCACCAGCCACCCACTGCTCCAGGCAAACTTTTTCTGCTGTCTTCTTTATTGGATCAAGCCACTCGTTCTTTCTCCTACACAGCCAGTGGATCACTTTTAAAAGGAGGAATATTTTAGTTCTAAGGGACAGTGTTATGAATGGCAAATATTTCCCCAGGACAATCCATGAAACATTTATTGAACAGATGCTCATAAGTACCTTTTATGTGCCATGCACTGGGGAAAGGAAAGGGTTTATAGACTAATGAGAGGTAGAATCTGTCCTAGAGGCATATGTTCCAGTGGGGCAGAGAGATAACCCCTGAAAAAGTAATTAGAATTTATGACTAAAATACTAATTTGAGGTTTTTTTGTTTGTTTGAATGAAATACAGTTCATGAATGATGCCCTCACTTCTACACCCACCAAATCCTGGCCATGTCTCTGCTATCCATCTTCCCTCTGTTTCTTCCCTGTGCTAGCTCAGCTTTCACCCCAGCTTCCCTAGATTAGACCACAGTCTCGAAGCATCTAGATTTTACAGTGCTTTGTTTTGTTTTTCTCTTCTCCAATTTATCCTTTATGCCAGGCTAGGGTTGTTTTTAAAAAAATGACTGATCTGATCACATCAGTCCAATGGTTTAAAACCTTTTGTAGTAGATCCGGTTTGATGGTACACACACACATACACACACACAAATAATAAAACAAATTAAAAAGAAAAAATTTAAAAAAAAAACACCCCTTTTGTAGTAGCTTAATTATCTAGTGCTACCATAATAAAAATGTCCCAGGTGGCACTGAAATAGATATTTATTGTCACAGAGTTTTGAAGGCTGAGAGTCTGACTCCAGAGTCTGCAGAGCTCGTCTCTGTTCACCCCAGGAGTTCATTCTTTGTGTCTTTCCCCTTCTGGAAGTCCCGAGTTTTCCTGGCATTCCTTGGCTCATGGATGGATCCTCACAGGGTGAACTCCCTTTATAAGACACCACTCAGAAGGAAGTGGATTGAACACCCACCCTGTTAGAGTAGGGCTTCATTAACAAAAGGCAACTCCAAATAAAATCACATTCTCATATTGAGGGGTTAGGACTTCAATACATCTTTTGGGGGGACACATTCATAAAAAGATCCTCAGCATGGTATGCAGAGTTTTTATAGCCTTGTTCTAGCTGTCCCGTGGCGACTGGAGAACTCACTCACGTGTTTGCTATGTCTCAAGAATCTGTCTCTTCATGGCTGCTATCAAACCCCAGGCCCACCAGCATCAACTCTATTCTGACTCACAGTGACCCTACAGGACAGGGCAGAACTTCTAATAGGGTTTTCAAGGTTGTGAATCATTATGGAAGCAGACTCCTTCATCTTTCTCCTTTAGAGTAGCTGGTAGGTTCAAACCACTGACCTTTTAATTAATGGCCAATTATTTTAGGTATTGCACCATCAGGACTCCTACCTGCTTGTCTCAAAAAAACCTCAAATGCAATGTCCTTGAGTCAGAACTAACTCACAGCAGGTTCGGGAGGCTGTGAATCACAGGGAAGGAGACTGTTAATCTTTCTACCTCAGAGCTGCTAGTGGATTTGGTGCCACCTTTGGGTTAACTCTCAAAGAATTCCCTACTGATGGCTGCTTGTTGGGTGCCATCGAGTTGGAATCGACTCATAGATGACTCTCCAGCAAGTTTTCAGAGGCTTGCCCATCTTTCTCAGCAGCAAATGGATTTGAACCACATACTTCTGCATTGGCAGCACAATTCCTTTACCATTATGCTACCAGAGCTCCCTAGTTACCTTACAATGTCTGGGAAAGACAAGAACATATTTTGTCCAATGATTTGGCTAATTTAGGCAGGACAATAAACATGGTTTAGTCCATCTTGGCCAGAAACTAAAGTCTATGTTATAGTCTAAATAGTATTTATCCTTTTATCCTGAAAGAAAGAACACTTTAAAAAAATTATTAGGAAAACCTTTCAGTGGCTCATTATTTAAAGAAAATCAGATATGTAAAAAAAAAAAAAGTTGCCAGTAATATCATCACCCCAAGTAAGAGATTAGTATTCTCTTATAAAACTACCCTATGTCATGAGTTTAAGATCACTTTGTCTCTCAGCCCTGGGGCATACTTGAGTTCAATAGACATTTATAAACGGACAGATCTTTGTTTATGTTTATGATAATCAGCATTTCACATTGCACTTTGTTAATTTACCTAGCAAATATTTACCAAGCAATGTAAAGCTATATGTCTATGGTAAATGCTGTTAAACATTTCCATTAAATAGTTTTTGGTTGAGTTGGAGCAAATTCAGCTCCTTTAAAATATCCATTTGTGACTATGAATGCACTTTGGATTAAATAGCCTATACTAATTAAATGTATTTTCAGGAAATTTTCTTCACTTATTCATTTTATTTAGAAAGACCTCTTAACTGATAAAAATACTCAGTTAAGGCCCTACCATCCTTGAAGATAAAATCTAAATGAGCTGTGTAATTGATTATCTATTATCTAACAATTATGACTTCTTTTTTATCCTATCTCTCTTTCTACCTTGCTTGGGGCCTTATGCACAGTTTAGAAAGGTAAACAGAGTTTAAAGAGCGAGATGTCATCACACCATTGCTGACAGTTAATTCTGTCATGCAATTAACTGCCTACTGTCCTACTCTTTTCCTATAAAGCTCTGATGGACTAGTGGGTAAGAAACTGTGCTACCAACACAAAGGCAAGTGATTCGAATCCACCAGCTGCTCCTCAGGAGGAAGATGGGCAGTCTCCTCCTGTGTGATTTATAGCCTCTGAAACCTGCCGGAGGGTCAGCTATGGGGTGGTTCTGACTCAATGGCAATGAGACACTGTTTTGTTTGTTCTGCTGTGCAGCTTATTTTATGTTGTATTGCAAAGCCAAAGGAATTCTAGGAAGAAGCAAGCGAAACATTTTCCACTTGCTGCTCCAGTGCATTTTATCATGCTTCACTTCCATTGCCCATCCTTTCCCTTCCCCTCACCTCATGCCTTTACAAATGATATTGTTGTTGTTAGGTGCTGTCGAGTTGAGTATGACTCATGGTGACCCTATAAACAAAAGATCTGAACCCTGTTTTATCCTGCACTATCCTCACACAACCTGACACATAAGAGCCCATTGTAGCAGTCACCATGTCAATCCACCTAGTTGAGGGTCTTCCTCTCCTTCACTGA